GGCATAGAGTACACTGTCATCGGCGTTTCGGATGCGGTCCATTGTGTTCTCTGCAGCACGATAGGAGCAGGGGGCAGGATATAGGCGTTAACGGCAGAATTTCCCCGTCTCATACCTCATTCGTCTGGTTCGTGTGCGAAGAAAAACGTAGACGGAATCAGCCAGAAGTTACTGGCACGGCGTGTGGTTGCGCCTAGGCGTGTCACCAGTTCCCCATATGTGGAATTTTTGTAGCCGTGCATTTATGCTATACACTGCCGTGCTCTGCTCTGGATTTGGTGTTAGTCAAGCACATCTGCAGCGTGGCTTGATGTAATGGCACACACAGAAAATTTTCAGGTAGACATTGACGCAGTTAGCAGCAAATAAAGTAGTGCCACGCTGAAACAGGTAAATTATGCCAGGTCCTACTTCGTCCAAACTTGTTAAAGAATACTAGGAGGAGAGTTACTACAGAGAACAATTATGAAAAAGCCGTCCTCTATGCCGGGAAGAAGTGATTTTGCCCTAAATGCTGAAAGGTATAGTAGACTATCAATACTGCTTCCGCAAAGCATGGCATTAGTGGACACGATTTAAAAACCAATAACTCCGACAAGGGTTACCTCCTGTATAGCTATTCATTTTCACAGACAAGAAGAAAAGCACACGATATCTCCATTAGGCCGTGTGCATGGACCTTTAATATTGGGAAGCCGAATGGCGTAGGTGGGGAAATGAAACAATGAGGAATGACTTACAGCGTCGGAACGGCCATCGGCATCTTTTAATTCGATGTAGGGTTTCTGTTGAACCCTGTTTAAATCCTCGTGCAGAACGTCGAGCAGAAGCATCATCAATTCGTGGGCATCATGCTGCTCGTATCCAGCGAACTGTGGAGCATAATTGCATATCGCCATCTAGGTGTTATTCAGAGAAACATGTCCTGACTATGAAGATGACTATACAAAAAAGCAAAAGCCAGTCATTCGGCTGACCATAGGAACGGTAAACGTTATTCGTATGTGAATGGCCAGAATTGTGGTTGGTCAATTTGGTAGCAGGACGTCGGGTCAATAACGATTCCACTAAAGTAAATCAGGACCTATGTAACCCGCTAAAACATCGGCAGTCGTTCACACATAAACCAAACGTATTTCGTATTATTAGAC